GGACACTCCCTTCAGACTAAAGAGACTCAGTTCCTCCGGCCTGTCAGTGTGGGACACTCCCCTCGGACTAAAGAGACTCGGTTCCCTCTGGCCTGTCAGTGTGGGACACTCCCTTCAGACTAAAGAGACTCGGTTCCCTCCAGCCTGTCAGTGTGGGACACTCCCTTCAGACTAAAGAGACTCGGTTCCCTCCGGCCTGTCAGTGTGGGACACTCCCCTCGGACTAAAGAGACTCCGTTCCCTCCGGCCTGTCAATGTGGGACACTCCCTTCAGACTAAAGAGACTCGGTTCCCTCTGGCCTGTCAATGTGGAACACTGCCCTCAGACTAAAGAGACTCCGTTCCCTCCGGCCTGTCAATGTGGAACACTGCCCTCAGACTAAAGAGACTCCGTTCCCTCTGGCCTGTCAATGTGGGATGTGGCCCTTAAGGCCCAGAAGTCCCAGGTTGCTTTTCTCTGAGCAGATGGCGGAGTAGCAGTAGAGAGGAGGCAGGAACTGTGCACGCGGTGTTTCGTCTGTCCAGGTGTGGTCTCGCCCGTGCAGGAATGTTGAATCTCGGCCTCCTGCTTTCCCCCGCAGACCTCTGGCTACCTCCTTTGAGGGCAAGCACGGCAGCGTGCGCTACTGGGTGAAAGCCGAGCTGCACAGGCCGTGGCTGCTGCCCATGAAAGTGAAGAAGGAGTTCACTGTCTTCGAGCACATCGACATCAACACTCCTTCTCTGCTGGTGAGGGCGGCTCGCGCGCCGGACCCGTGCTCGGGGTGGGCGCAGCGGGGCGTGAGCCCGCCAGCAATCCAGGGCGTCCAGAAGGGGGCGATGAGGATATTTCATGTTATAGTCGTTACCGTAGGGAGCTGCAAAGGGACAGGTGAAGGTTTATTCCAGGCTGAAAAGAGAAGAAAGGAAACGCAACGGATCAATAAACCTCTGCTTGTTCCTATTTAATGTTATATTCCACGTGGGTCTCCGGGGGAAACCTGTTGATGAGGAAGCACCATTCTGCTTCGGTTTCGCTCGCTGGTATGGAGTTGTGAGCACAGTGCCCAGGCTCTCAGTGCTGACTTTTTCAAGCCATTGTTGCCTTTCCAGGTGACGAGACGTGGCTAAGAATGTGCTCGAATTCCTATTAACGGGGTGTTGTGGGGTATTTCAAAAAAGGTTTTTTTTAAATTCCGAATTGGCTTCACAATTCATGGGCTTCTGTTTGTTTTTTTTACCATGGAGGGGCTTAGAAAGGCAGACATGGGGCCAAAACATGTGTGTGTCTTGGGTTTTATTTTGGATGATGGTAAAATTTAACTTTTGCGTGCTTAATGTGTAGTGGAACAAGTAGAGGCTACTTCTACACAGAACAGTAGGAGAAAAAGACTCATTTCAGCGGTCGAGCCTTTTTAAAGTGGGAGGGGCAGAAAGAATTTGAAGGAGGCAGGACTCCTTCCCTTCCACCTGAGGAAAGCTCGGCAGCCTGAAAGGTGTTTTTTTTCTTGTCAGTTTCCCTGCTGGAAAAATACTTCCAAGCTCCTGCCTTTGTAGCTTGTCCCCTGACACAGCCCTCCCCCGGGTTAACGTGCATGTCTCTTCTCTGTCCTGTTGGTCTCTCTACAGTCACCGCAGGCTGGCACGAAAGACAAGACTCTGTGTTGCTGGTTCTGTACCTCAGGCCCCATTTCCTTAAGTGCCAAAATTGAACGGAAGGGCTACACCCCAGGTGAGGACTCCAGCTCGGCACGCAGCACCAAGCCCACTCTGAAGAATGTCATTGTCACCCTGCGTGTCCTTTATTTGTGCCAGATCGTGACGGATAAGAGAAGCCAGGCTTTGCACCGGTGATATTTTAAACGCCGTGGCTTAGAGTTTCGCAGTTGTGGTTTTGTCTTCTAGCTCCTGTTATTAAGCTGATCCGTTTGCTGGCAGTTTTAAAACTGTTTCAGCTGTTTGAACAACAGCACAAGCTTAGGCCTGGACCAGAACCCTCTGCCAAGTACTGGGTTCCAGCTCTCCCCTCATTTAACTTTCAGTTTTAAGTTTTATTTGCTGATTTAACTATATATGTCTTAACGTGAAGCAGAAATGAGCTTGTCATTCAGTTGTAACCACGGCTTCAAGAGCACAGCCGGACCTCTCTCCTTGTGCAAATACTAGACCTTTCATCTCCAAGGGAGACCCCCGATTTTTGTTTTTCCGCCCCAAAATGAGATTTCCTTAGAAATCTGTCCGTCTTTCATGATTCATTTTTCTTACCTGCCAAGACCGTCAAATTTAATTCCAGTATACAGTATGGTCATCAATGTGGGATTCTTGTATAGAGGGTGGTGGTGGTGTTTTAGTGTAACTTTAAGATAATGTATGCTCTGATTACGGGGGAACTGCAGCGCTATTTTTATGTTTAGGGGTTATAATGAATCAGTAACAAGAAGTGCTTTTCAAACCACAATGGAACTACGAACTGCGTGGGACATCCTCCAATTCTCAACACTAAAGAGATGAAGTTGCAATGTGTGCACAGCGCCATATTGCCACCGTTGTGATTCAGAACCAGGCAACAAAACACGCGGTGATGCGAAAGCAGCCTTATTACATTGTCAACATGCTTTAGATGAAGCGTATTTTGCTACTATATTAATAATAAATATTTTCATGACACTGACACGTACAAGATGATAACATGTTTTTCAGATGCTTTTTAATTATTGACAAAAAAACCAACCTACCAACCACCTGAAATGGTAATTAATGCTGTTCAGAGACCGCATATCTTGTGTGCTTACAGCGACTAGTGAGCAGGAAGGGCCCACTTTCACATCACAGTTAGCTCAAATTCTCACCCTCGCCGCGGCGAGACCAGCGGTTTCTTGTCTGCCTGTGACAACATGACGACCAGACAGCGCTCTCTCAAAGTTCGCGGTTTTACGCTAAACGAACTCGTAGACTTCTGCGATACCGTCGGTTAATTTATTTTGTTAGCAAGGTCCGATAATCGGTCTGAGAAATCGGGCCTGCAGTTCCCCTTTTAGTGTGGGGTTTGCTGCCTGATGCAGGCGAGAAGTGTAATTGGGGGAAAAAGGAAAGGTAAAAAAAAAAAAACCAGTGCTGACGTCTTGCCCTCCCTCTGCAGGAGAATCGATTCAGATCTTCGCCGAGATCGAGAACTGCTCTTCCCGCATGGTGGTGCCAAAGGCAGCCGTTTACCAAACCCAGACCTTCTATGCCAAAGGGAAGATGAAGGAGGTCAAGCAGCTGGTCGCCAACCTCCGAGGGGAGTCCCTGTCCTCGGGCAAGACGGAGACGTGGAATGGGAAAATGCTGAAAATTCCGCCCGTCTCCCCCTCGATCCTGGACTGCAGCATCATCCGAGTGGAGTACTCGCTGATGGTGAGCTTCCCCGCCCAGCCGGCATGTCTGGAATAGTCAGTGCGCCA